GTATGCTGGTAATTACTAAATAACTACATTAAATATATTAAAAACTGTGAGTACAAATTCCTGTCTAGGCTGTGTTCCCAAAAGCTGTACCTTTGGGTTTTGTTTTTCTTTTTTTCCCTGTAGTTTTCAAATCTTTTACTAACTATAGGCTAGTCTGTCATGATGGAATTATGGAGCTTAAACTGAAATATACTAATTATTATTAATTGTATGGTTTAAAGATCATGACCAGGCCATATGAGACCTTTATTCACTCTTAACTGTAGGTTTGCATTTCCTTTAAAAGCAATTCTTGCAGATATAAATACATACTGTAAAATGATACCATCAGATTAGCACAATGGCCTTCAACTTTATTGTTGCTAAAAAGAAATGAATAAACAAAAATCTCAGTATCATTTCCATTGTTAGGGATACGGTGGCTACATTACATCAATGATCCTGAAATCCAGTGAACGGCTCTTCAAGTGTGGAGCTGTGGTGGCACCAGTTACAGATATGAAGTTGTATGGTGAGTATTCCCTGCCCTGCACCTGTGCGATAGTCTATTCAAAATATCTTTTATTCCTGGAGCTATATTCATTTTAACTAAGGGCAGATAATGTAGCAATATCAACTAGATTTTACCTCACTGTCTCGTTCTCTCCTTTAAATGAAAAGGCAGCTAACACTGGGACAGTTTACCAAAACACGCAACAGATACAATATTATTAACACCACTGATTTTTGCAAAGGAGTTGTGTTTCCCATTTCCCACTGAAATTCAGTCAGGTACCCCATTTCCTAAGAATCCTTTAGGTATATCAGCCTGAATCAAGACTTATAACAGGAATGAGTCTTTTAAGTTTAGTGGTGAATTCCTTACTGTATCAACCATGTCGTCATTCAATCACAGGATATTTGGTTCTGTATGTGAAATTTTGGGCACAGGCTATGGACTGTGGACTGTGATACACACAAAATCAGACCAGGTTACTTTAATGGTGTGTTAGTCTTTTCTTTGTTTTTTTTTATTTTATTTTGTTTTGTTTTGTTTTGGGGGGGTGTTGGTGTTGGGGTTTTTTGGTGGTGTTTGGTTTTTGTGTTTTGCTGGGTTTTTGTTAACCATTTAAAAATGGTTTTCAATAGTACATTCTGGTTAACATTTCTCTGTTGACTTCATGGTTTAAATAGCATCTCCTGACTCTAGGTCAGAACTGATGAGTTTTAAAATAGAAGTAATTTTGATGAACTCACAAGTTTTTGTTTTTACTTTCACAGCATCAGCTTTTTCAGAAAGATACCTTGGTATTCCATCAAAAGAGGAAAATACCTATCAGGTAAGTTAGCGTAAACAAGAAACTTAAAATGACCATTTTAGTCTTAAAATGCAATTCAGTTACACCTTTGTGTGTGTTTGTTTACTAGGCATCCAGCGTATTACACAATCTTCATGGTTTAAAAGAAGCGAATTTACTAATCGTTCATGGGACAGCTGACAGTAAGTATTTACAGATGCAATTATATTTAAAGTCAGAGGTTTTAGTAGGCAGGCATTCAAAGACTGATTAGGCACACACCTAGCAAGTATATTTTTAGTTTCATTATCCCCCCGATAGGATTTTTTATTTTATTTCAATTGTCACTTCTAACTCTAAACTGATGATGCTTTTCTTTGCTGAATATTTGTACCTTTTAGGTGCTATATGTTCGAATTTGTTTAAATCTTGTGGACCACCGTCTTGCTAGTGAAAGGTATTATGTGAATTATTAATAGAACAACGTACGTTTTTAATGGTATTTTAAATTCATCGAGATTCTGCAATTGAAGAAAGAATTATCAGTACAGTTGGTGAAGTACAGCACCAAATGGGAAGTTGAACTTTTCAGCTAATTAATTACAAGGTAGTGCCAATGCAACTGAAGCTGAAGCTATAGGGAACCTTTTAATAGCACCAATACTTTTAGCAGTACTTTAAGACAGAGAATGAGTAAAACAGACTAAGTTCTAGCACTTTAAATGGAATCATAAGACGTGTCGATCAAGAGACAATTTGTAATTACAGATTTAAATTTAACTGCAGTATATTTTTCTGAACTTTCTTAACTGATGTAGGTCTAAAGAACGAGCTTTGCAGGCACAAATTACAGTGCTGCAACAAATTCCTCTGTACAGATTCACATGCATACTTCTTTCCCTGGCATTTTCCTGGTGAATGTAGGATAATACAAGGTTTCTTGCCCCTCAGTCTGGAGGGATAAGTACCTCACACTGACGAGGGCTGAGGTGAGAGTGCCCACACACACAGTTGGCACAGTGAGGATGGCACCTGCCAGCCTGTCATCCTAGTGTAACTTGTCAAAGCTGTGTTACAGATCCCAAGTGCAATCAGAGGGGTGCAAACACTGTCCCGTGTTTCTTCCCAGAGCAGGGGGGAGAGGGACAGAGGAGACATACTGGGTGATTGAGCAGGCATGAGGGTCTCAGACTTCGCTCATTGTAAAAGGCAGCAGCAATTTCTACCCCTCTGAACTCAGCGCTAGAGGGAATTGGGACTCTGATGGATGTCTGAGCAATACAGTGTGTTCAAGACTAGGACTCTGATTGCCTGCAGCCCTTGCTTAATATCACATCTAGTGACACCACCCAGCCCACTTGCAGCCTAAGCTCTGCAGGGTTAGGATGTGGTAATAAAGTTGCCTGTTTTTACCACACAAAGATTAAGTTACTGATATGTTGCAGAAAGTCCATTACCTAAAGAAGTGTGGGCTGTAATAACCCTGTGCAAGCAGTAGAAAATCCAATGTGCTTTCCTTTAACACAATTATAAACTCTCACGATGTTCAAACGGAATGGTTTTACACACCTCTAAACTATCACAGTGTGTGTAAATCAAGGGTAGAGAGAGGAGTCCTCACGGAGTGCCTGGAAAGCATGGCTTCCCTTGGGGCTTCCAGCTCCTTCTCCAAAACCTCTGCTGTTACACCCTGCATCACTGTTAGTGGTGGGGCTCTGCGATTCTGACCAGAAAGATAGCCAACTTCAGATCCGGCAATTACAGGGGTTGGAAATGTTTTCAGTCAAAGCTGTTTAACAGATAAGTATTTCATATTAGCATAGCTTCTTCTAATAATATCCAAATATTGTTGTCTTGCAGCTAAAGTCCACTTCCAGCATTCAGCAGAACTGATTAAACATCTAATAAAAGCTGGAGTTAATTACACTATGCAGGTATGTGCAGCTGTGACATTTCCTATAAACGTAGTTCCACATTTGACCTCATATTGCTATTTCATCCCTGAGAAGGACCCTCCCTACCACAACGCACCTGTATTACCTCAGTTTGCAGTTAGAACTCCGTTTAATCCCATTTTCCTTACTGTCAGTATGGATGTCAAGAACCGTATCTTCTTGTCATTCTTCTGGGCTCTTTCTCCTCTCTCTCATCTTTCTTTTTTCCACCTGTTTATCCTACAACACTATACAAAGTGCTTTACAGTCCATATGCACTCTTTGTAATATGGAGACATCACTACTTTAGTCCCTTTTTACCTAAAATAGTATTGGGTCACATGAAATTTCCCCTTATTTTCAACACTTAAATTTATTAAAAGGCAGCTAAAAGGGGAGAGCGCTGTTCCCTCTCTCCATAGCTGTACGGAGGGTGAGGGTGCTGTGAGGGACAGGCTGGGGAGAGCAGGACAGGGTGGGCTGCTGACATACAGACTTGCACGGGACCCACCGCGGAGTACGTGGATGTTGCTGGCCAGGGGTTCTGATTGCGGCAAACCTTCTTGAATATCTTAGACGATGTGGTTTTGGGTCACTCCTCCATGTATCTCTGATGTTACACGTTGCAAACCTCTACCTTACTGAACCTTAGGTGGACCTGTAGTTTCCACTGAAGCGTGTGAGCTCACGTCAGGGAGGAGGTGGTAACGAGGGGGTTAGCATCACTTATGAAGGGAAAAGGACTTTATGTGTGAAATCTGAGTGGGGTAGGATCTGTTCCAGCTGTCCCTGTGATTTCAGCTGAGGTGATGTGAAGGCCTGTGGAGAGAGGAGAAAGCAGGAATGACGGAGGTCTCTCAGAAGAGCCCCATTGAACCGTTCTCATGCAACCTTGTGATAACCCGAGTTTGAGGAAGCAGCTGAGGCTTTTTGCCTCAGGCCACCGCAAATCCCTTGTCCTAAACCCTGTGGCCTGGATTTCTTCATTCAGCCTGCAAATTTTTGTTCAGCCTCACTTGGGAGAAATTTCCAGTGGAATTGGAATTAAGAGATAAAAATGCCCACGTCCACCCTAGGAGAGAGAGAGATGATAGGCTTTAGATAAGATAGGAAGATAGTTAAAAATATGAATAAAAAGTTTTTTCGCTGAACACTTAGAAGCTGAGATATTGAGAGGTCCCTAAAAGCATGAGGTAATTAATCCTCATTGACATTAATGGGATTTGGATGCCTAGACACTATTGAAAATGCCAGCTAAGTAAACTGTTGTAAGCACAATGACTGAGAACATAAATTTTTTCACTTCTGCAGATCCCACTGCAGTGGTTGTTTTATGTAAGTTCAAATTCCAAGAGAATGAGTTTTACTTTGAGTTTTATTAGCTTTCCTTGATGCCATAAAACTGTTATCATCCTGTTGTCATCTAAAACATTTTGAAGATCAGAGAAAGGAAATTAGAGCCCTAAATATTTGAAAAGCCTTTAAAAAACTATTTACTTTTTTCCTTTCTCCTCTGCTAGATCTACCCGGATGAAGGTCATAACATTGCGTCTGAGAAAAGCAAATATCACCTTTACAGCACAATCCTTGGGTTTTTTAGTGCTTGTTTAAAGGAGGAGACACCAATTTTACCACAGGAACCTGAAGAGGATGAATAAGGAAGCCTATTTGTGTAGTACTGAAGGGGACTTACTTTGTGGCTCAATAAAACCTTAAATAAAAGTGACTGTAAGATTGCAGATTCTGCAGAAGCTCAAGGGCAGCTAAAGGATATCACAGTGGAACAGCACATTTACAGACAATGAGCTAATAAACTGGAATTCGACTACAAAGTCCAAACATATTACCAAGGGACAAAACCTTTACCTTTGTGGAAGGTCAACAGTTGGTTACAGTTTCCTGGAAGAACTTAGTTTTGCATAAGTGTAGGGTTAGTGCATGTTTGTTACGTTAAGCCTCACTGTTGGTTCTGTAAGTGGTTGCTTGTTTTTTAATTTAAATGCACATCTTTATTCATCTTTGCATAATGCACAACCTATCATAAGTATTATGGCCACTAATATTTTAAAAGGTGAGCTGCAATCTAACACTTTAATGTTACAATAAGTGCAATTCTTTCGCTGTCTATTACACATAAGAAACCACAGAGATAATAAAGGGCACGATATTTTCTCTAGTTTCTGCTCAAAGGGGATATATTGTCTAGTGCATCATATAACATTGATACTGAAAATTATTTTTTTCCCTCCCCCAATTTCAGCATTTACAATTATTACTGTACCTACTAGTAACCAATAAGGGACTTTTTGGTAGTGTACTCTTGGTCTTTATGTATATACCCAGGACTCCCTAAGCAGAAAATCTTTCTGAGCTTGAAGAAATTTTTTCAAGACGTTATTAACAGCTGTATTTAAAACAATATCTGCAGTTGAAGTCTTTCCCCAGTCCAAAATGTATCTATTGTTTTCTTAAAATATGTTTGAGTTCTGTTTTAGTATTGTTTATAGTAGTTAATAGTTTGCCGGTTACACTCTAATTTTAGAATATGCTACTTTGTCACATGTAAATTAGATACATAAATTATAGTTTCAGATAAAGAAAATTTATTAACAATGTATAATGCCACTGAGTAATACTTTACTCCTCAAATGAAGACATATTTTGTATAGCGCATCTTCCTTTTCTTCCATCTGGTCTAGATGTAATGCTAATGTTCATCAAGGTGGCCACGTAGCTGGAACACGCCATTAGTTTTTATTCCAGGGCTGCTCATTAAGTCTCTTGCAACAGGATTTAGCTTCAACAGCACCACAAAGAAATGAAATGTTTTTCATTCAAGGCAAAGGAAGCTCCTGACAAGTTAAATTTTATTATTTATTCAGAGGGCGAGCCCCTCATACATCCATTTATTTGCCAAGGTGAATTACAGCAATAGAAATAAACAAGGCAGCCAGTTTGGGTTTGCAGAATATTAACTCTGATCACTGAAATAAAGTACAATGTTGACTTAATTTGAGATATCTTCCTGAAGGTATGTGAAAACTCTTGACAGATGCTGTGCCACTTACATGAGAATAGCTGTAGTTTTTTTCTTTCTGGGTATATTCCAAATACTTTCCTACCTAATTAAGGTTTCATTTCTTGCAAGGTTAGAAAGTAAGTAATTTTTTGAAGGTAACTGTACTATTTAAGATGAAAAGTTCTGCATATTTTATGAAGAATGGGAATTGTTTTTAATGTGATCAAAAATCACCTGAAGCTTTTTACTCATTACTTTCTTCTGGAATGTTTTCTTTCACAATTAGCATTTTTTTATGATGCAAATAATTAGTCTGAAAGGTGTGGGTTTATGGAACACTGGAAAGTCTCTGTCTTTTAATGTTTAGTATTTATCTTGTTTTATTAGCAATGTTTAACTATTTTTCAATTAGTTTAATACAATTTTAATGTGCAATGGTATCTTGTTTGGGTCCCAGCGTCACCACAAAGTATGGCTTTGCTTTGTGGTATTTATAGTACATATGGAGTACATATGTATAGTATAGGTACGGTATATATGTATGGAGGCTACTATGTGCGCTACAGTAAGACCATACAAAACAACAAAAAAAGAGAAGAATTCAAACAAGGTTTTGCAAATCCTGTTTTCTATAACGGAGCAACATTTTAAAGTCTTCTATTGGCTGGGACTTCTAGATTGTGATTTTATAAATTACACCCATTATTTAATAAAAGCTCACCTGACAATGCTGATGCTTTTCCTAACCAAACACGGTAAACGAGGTCCTAATCCAGTTGAATTCAATGAGACGTTTTTCCCGATTTGAGCCAAATGCACATGAAGAACCCAGAAGCTGTGTGCACACGTTGAGCATGCCGTATGGACTCGGCGTGCGGAGGCTACGTGAAAAGGCTAATTCTTCTCTATATGCGCTGGCTGTTTCTCTGCCAGACAGCCACTATGTGCTCATATTTACTACATTTCACATATATAGCCTTTAGTTACCTGCAAAAGAAAACAAGCAAGGCTTGTGTCTCAGCAATAGGATTATGCATGTGCTCAGGAAATATGTTGTCCCAGATCTGTGGAACCCATACCCTGTCTCCTCCTTTCCCCATAGCTCTCTGTTTCAGGCCCCCATTCCCTACTCTTTCTACCCCAGCATCTCACCTCCAATTTTGATCAATTTACCTGAATGTGAAGGTGGCATGAGGACGTGGCTTTTGCCAGGACTGGTATGTTTAAAAAGTGTGTTATCTGAAATGTGGGTTACCTGTGTGGAAATGTGGTATGCTTTTAATGTTTTTAATATTTCTCACACTGTCCTACAAATACAGGTATTTTTATATAAATGTGTATACGAGGGTGAGGATCAGACCCAGATTAATTGGTTTTACTGAAATTTTTATATATGAGTTAAATTCAGATATTGCAAAAGTATTTGCAGATGCAGCCTCTGATTCTAGTTAAAGAATTTGGTGCAAGGGGTATCTCTGCTCTTGCTAACCTGCTCAAATATTTCTTCCACTTACAGCACAACTGAATATTATTATCTGTCAGATTCTACATACATAACTAACTGCAATCACTCGTTAATTAGTCTATGTATGTGATCTATAGTATTGATCAAGAATTAATACACGTTGCACAGAAATGGCGTGAAAAGCGCAGATTTTTCATAGCTTATCCATTGTTAAGCACTGTGATGACATTTTGGGTCCGAAAGATTACTGTTTGATCCAGCTGTCTTTAAAATATGACACTTGCTAGACTAGACCTATTAGTTTATGGAAAGCTAGGGAATCAGCATATCCATTTACTGCTTGCTAGAGCTTATCTCTACCTTCTTGATTTCCTCTCTCCTTTTTCTGCTATTAGGACTTGCAAAATCTATGAAACCTGTAGGTCATATTGAAATTTCAATTATATTACAAAATTGGGAGTAACTGCATGTCAATTGGAATATTTTTTCCAGATTGTTGAGTACAAAGAAAGGCTGATTATTTTTAAATTTTTTTTTTTAATCTTTTTGCAGTGAGGACAGAATTATTTATGACCTGGTGTGATCAACGTCTGCTATGATTTGCTATAACCAACTGCTCATTGTTCCTATGTTTTTGGCATATGTAGATCTACCCGTGTCTGAAAATGAAGATGATTGCCTCTGTTCTCTCAGCTCTGGCACTTAAATTTTGAGTATGGAGTCAGTTAGGTTCATTTAGTTGAGAAATTGTGCCTTTTAAGACAGAAGAGCTTGTATTTGATCTGAAGCCAAAGATTCTCCATGGAAACTTGGGAGCATTGAGTGTTGGCTCCTTTAATAAAATGCAGAGGATACAAGGTGTAACCTAGTATCCCTCCTTGCAGGTTTATTAGATGTTACTGAAGAAACTGAAGCAAGAGGAAGACTGGCCCAAAGAGACTGAATACCAGTTTCTTTTGCACAGCCTAAAAACACATAGGCAAGGTGCAGTGGTCCTAGCATTTTATATTTACTTCAGGTAACTACTGCTGTCAAGTCGGTTGCCTCTGGGGAAGGAAGAACCTCACCAGTATTGATTACTGGTGCATCTTCTTCAAAACACCTTTCATTCAGTACTGTTAAGATCACTCCTCTTTTTCCTTTGAACGATTTCAAGAGTGCTTCAGAGAATGGGGAGCTCATGGGATGTGGCTAAGGAGGGTCACAACTTCCAAGGTGCTTGGAGCTTTGAAAAGAAAAAAAAAAAAGGATTTAGTTAAACTTCTATCTGTTGCATTTCATACATGAAAATTGAGAAGGAGCCCAGCTTCAAGGAGGTAGGTGGATGACAAGTGTTGGTGATTCACTCACCGGGGGTAACGCAACATGCTTCCTACAAAGCTAGTACCAAAATTTTGCAGTGGTAAGTAAAATAAATGCCTGTTTTCTGATGTCTGAAGATTACAGTCCTGTTAGATTAAGTTGATCGGTATTTGGATAGAATTAAGGAAATTAAACCACCTGTGTGTATGCAGTCCAAAGTTTCCATTAAACTTGGGACTAGGCTTCTTGCCTGGATAATTATTTTAGAAATCCAATATCCTATCTTCACATAAGTCTAACTCAACAACAACAAAACTGATTTAATAATGGCTATACCCCATGAGGACACAAATGATATGTACAATTCTTTTTAATTAAAATATCCCATAAAGTGCTAACAGCCCAATTTTATATTTCATCACCAAAGAAAAAGGGGGGGGGGGGAAGCTTCTGATTGATAAAACCAGCAGAGGCAATATAATTGGTAGGAAGATACTCGGGGAAATATTTCCCTAAGGAAAGTGATTAGAAAAATGTTTTCTGCTGAAGTGTATTTTGTGTCATAAGTGAGCTCAGACTACAGCTGTCCAGGTGCTTCTAAGAGAATTTAGATGTTGACGTACAACTGATGTCCAGAGGGCTCAGGCAGGGAGCAGGTACCTGTACAGGCTCGGGTAGGGAGCAGGTACCTGTACAGGCAGATGGTCCCGTCCTCCACCTAGTGCAGAGCCTTTGCAGCTTTCTGTAGAGGAGGATCGTAGTCCGGGAGGTTAGTCCGCCACAGGCCCTTCTGGATCCAGCAGGGATCCAGAACACTGGAACAGGGACGCAGTTGGTAGGCCTTTCATGTCTTTGCATGCAATTGTTACATCAGGAGTAAGAAAAATATTTTTAAAAAATAACTGAGCAGTGTGGTCGT